CAGTGAATTCCCTTTACAATCCCCTTGACAAAAATGCTGTAAAGGGGAATCCTGGGAAGTCTAGGGTCACTCGTGGCTCTCCACCACCACCGTCCTGTGAGACTATTTTACTCTGATTTAGATTTTATCTCACGGGCCACCAGGATAGTCTAATGAGGTTTTAATAAAAAGTATTAATCTTTAAATATTAGCTTTATTCCAGGCTGAGTGTTATTTTTAATTAACAATATTTCTGCAGCTTGAAACGAATGAGTCACCCTTTCTGAAATGGGCTCAGACTGTAAGATACACAATCTAGAAAAAATGACTGCAGAACCACAAACACGTGACCACGGCATCCCGAGCCACACTTCTGCTGACTGCACCTGTGTTGGTAATGCTGCAGTCCTCGTTCCTCCGCCGGGTGTGGTATATGATGACCACCCACACCAGCGACGTGCCCACCACACAGCAAACCACAGCTATGATCACCACGCCCACGGTGGCCCAGCCATCCTCGTCCAAAGACGGGGCGGTCATCTGAGGAGAGTCGCAGGTGGGAGTGGGGATCACACTCAGGCGCACGTTGCCCCTCTCAGTGCCAAGGGTATTGGACATTTCACACGTGTATTTTCCAGCATCGCTGACATCAGAGTCCACGATAATCAGCAGCTGATTGCCTGCTGCAAAAAAGTGTCTTTCGGTCACCACCAAAGGGCTGTCATCTTTGGTCCAGTTCAGTCTGGGCGGAGGGCTACCGCCAGCGATGCACTGCAGCACGGCCGTCTCGCCCTTGGTCACCGTTCGGTCTAACAGAGGCCGCAAGAAGGATGGCGTTTCTGAAAGGGCAAGTTACGGTTTTAAATTTCCTAAATGAAACCTGGTTCCCATATCACGACAACTAGCATTTTTATTCAAATTGCAGCCTAAAATCTTGAGCTCCCCAAAGAGGCTGGACATATCTCTTAAATAAGAGCCTAAAAACAATGCAACCTTTGGATTTTTGTTACTCTGCTTTCATTTACTCCTAACACCAGGTAAGGAAGATAATTACTACTTTCAGCTCAATCTCCTTCCTTCTTGCCAAGGTTAGAAAAGTGGTAGTGGGGGAAGTTGATAAAATAGTTTTTAAAAATAGAAAAAAATATATGAAAATAATTTGAAGAACTAGAGTGTGTTGGCAGATTTATTTAAAAACAAAACAAAACAAAACAACAACAAAAACCAAACAAACAAAAAACTCCAGAATGCTTATATTCTTAAGGTGAAACTTTGTATTGTCAAATATGCTTAGGTCTAAATTAAAATTCTAAAAAGGATTTACTTTTATTATTTGATATCTTAATAGGTTACTTTAACTTTTTCAAAAATATGTTATTACTATAAATGTAATCACAATTGTATGAAGCATTTGTTTAGATAAAAGATTAAACAAGAACCTTGGTTTCTAGAGTGGTATGAGAGGCTGAGAAGCGAGAACAGGTCCCAATATGTTCATACATTTATTTTTTGTTCTTTATAGTGTTAAAAGACTGTGGAGAATATGCAACATGCCCAGTAGAAGGCAGTAATCCTGGCAAAAAATGAAAGATGTCAAAGCTTTTACTTGTTCCCTCTCCTAGAGATGGAAAAATTCACCTCCTGGGCCACTGATGTAGAGGTGCAAAGCTCTGCTGGTTTCACAGCTTCGGGGAAGCCCTTTTTTCTTTCTAGCAACAGACAGTGCCCTATGATTTTCTTCCCACCAAGGCTCTGGTGTGAGCCCATAATATTTGCAGGACTGACACAAACTGCAGAGTGGCCAGGAATCCTCTTACCCAGCACGGTCAGAGTTGCATTTGCAGAAATGCTTCCTGCACTGTTCTGAGCTGTGCAGCTGTACACCCCAATGTCCTCTATCTTCACGTCTACGATGAAGAACACGTCGTCCTCGGGCATCACGTGCATGCGTCTCTCCCTGGCGGCAGGAAAGTCAGTACCTCCGTCCTTCTGCCAGGCTATCTGAGGAGTGGGGTGTCCCACGGCTGCGCACTCCAAGCGTGCCATGGCCCCGGCTCGGATGGTGAGGTCCATGGGGGTTTTGGTGAATGAGGGAAGCACTGAAATCAAAAGGCAGCGCAGGCATGAGTGCCAGGGCCTTGGGAGGGTCCGCCTGCATCCACCCCGATTCCTTCCTATTCCAAATGCCCCTGACAAAGGTAGGACAGGCTTAGTGCTGACTTCAGGACAGGGAAACTGAGACAGATGCAGTAACCTGCTCAGGATTACACAGGGATAGAAGTGAGGGAGTCAGGATGAAAGACAGGTCATGTGATCCTCAAAGTGAAGGGCTCCCTGCTATAATTCTGGCCACTTTTAGTTTAATCAATAACTAAGATCTTCAGCAAGTCAATTGATCTCTTTCTACTATGACTATTCATTTCATCTAGTTAAAGCTTCTGTCATGCAGATACTAAAGGTTACATGATAAAGTGGTAAGGATCCTCTTATAAAACTATGCCTGGGGTTGGGGTTGTGGCTCAGCGGTAGAGTACTTGCCTAGCAAGTGTGAGGCACTGGGTTCAATCCTCAGCACCACATAAAAATAAAATAAAAGTTAGTGTGTCCACCTACAACTAAAA